TCCTACTAAAGCTAGCCACCGCTGAACCTCAAAATCAGAACACCTTCCGTAAAGCTTCTTTAAAAGGAATATACAAATGTATATGAACACACACACACACACACACACACACACACACACACACACACACCAAAATATCCAAACACCTCTCAAGGAGATCAGGCTGCTATGAAACACACAAGAATGTTCCTGTTCACTCAGCAGGGGGCTGCTACATCTACTTGAGCACATCATACTTCCATCCTGCAGAGCATGCACAGGGGAACACAGGAGTATCCTTCTTTTGACTCTGAGAAAGGCAGGAAAAAAGATAAAGGATGTGAGGCTGGGCTGGAGAGTGGGAACCCAGACCTGCAGGTGAAAGGGGACTGCAGGATCTGAAACCCCAGTGCTTTATAACCTATGCCAATACATTCCCTCCTGTCCTCTGCTTTCTTGGAAAGCTACCAGGGCAGTTGTTTGTGCCCACAAAGCCGGGGGCCAATGCCAATTCTGGAAGTGGGGAATCTGAGCCACTGTACAGGAAAGTTTCCCCTGCAGCTATAGCAGATGAGAAGCAGAAGCTTCCAGGAAAACCAATGCACAAATGGTGCAAGGTTTCCACTCCAGGAGGAAGCTGAGCAGGTAGAGTGGCTTCACAGGGTGGGGTTGAGGAGGAACCGGCAGCAGCCAATGGAGGCAATGCATGATCTCTGCCCAGCAGGACCTTCACCCAGCACCGCTGGCGCAGGCGGCTGCCCTCCGCTTTCTTCAACCCTCTCTCCAGGAGTTGAGCCGCTGTGCTCTCTGGCTGTTGCCTGGGATCACCAAGGCAGCAGGTACCCTGGGAGCCGGGTGCCACTGCCAACCATCACATCCTACCTCATCCTGCCCCTACCTCAGCTTTCCACCAACCCCGCAGAACTTTACTATCTTAAATTGTTTGAACTTTGTTCAAAAAGGCAGTTACTTGTGAATCTGATCCCTTTGAGGCTTAAATTTTTATTCGAAATTAATATGGATTCACAGGCAATTGCAAAGAGAGGAGAACAAAATCCTGTGTATCCTTCATTCAGTTCCCCACATGGTTACAGCTTCCAAAACTGGAAAACAATATCAAAAGAGAAAACCCACATTGATAAAATGTGTATATAGCTACATGCCTTATCACATGTGTAGATTCATGTAGCCGCCACCACGATCAAGATGCAAAACTCTTTCATGAAGATCTGGGCTCTTACCCCAGAGAAATAAGAGAAAGATCTCTCCCCTTTAGTTATCTCTTTCCTCTCTACAATTTTACCCCTACCCTACACTATCCATAACTTCTGGCAATGAATAATTTGTTCTAAATGTCTATAATTATTTCAAAATGTCATGTAAATGGAATCATATGATACATAGCCTTTTGATACTGTCCTTTTCATGCAGTATAATGCCCTTGCAATGCATCCATGGTATTTTCTTTATCAATAATTCATTTCTTTATATTGCTGACTAGTATTCCATATACGGACGTACCACAGTTTTAACTATTCACCAATTGAAGAAAATTTTGATTCTTTCCAGTTGTTTATTTGACAAATAAAGCTGTTGTGACCATCTGTATAAAGATTATGTGCACAGTTTTCATTTCTCTGGGATAAGAGTCCAGGAATGTAGCTATGGAAAGTATGTTTAGTTTGTTCTATCATTGATAACTATTTATCAGTGGTTGTAGCATTTTTCATTACTATCAGCAATGTATGACACCCCGACACACCAAGTTCTATCAGATCCTTGTTAGCACTTGATATGGACAGGATTTTTTTTGTTTTTTTGGTCATTATAATGGGCATATAATGATTTTTATTATGATTTCATTTTCATTCTGCTAATAGCTAGTGATGTTGAACATCTTTTCATGTGCTCATTTGATAAAGCTTTGTCAGTAAAATGTCTTTTGCCATTTCTAATTGGTTTGTCTGGTTTTTAACTGTCAAACTTCCACCCCTCTCCCCAGTACTGGGGATTGAATCAGGGTGCTTTACCATTAAGCTATATCCCTACCCCTTTTTATTTCTTTTAACTTTGACACAAGGTCTTGCTAAGTTGCCCAGGCTGGCCTCAAACTTGTGATCCTCCTGCCTCAAACGGCTGAGTGGCTGAGATTACAGGTGTGCATCACCACACCTGGATTTACTGTTGAATTTTGAGAGTGCTTTATGTATTCTGGGTGTGAGTCTTTTTGTCAGATATGTGGTTTGCAAATAATTCTCCTGATCTGTAACTTATTTGTCTATGTATTTATTTTTGTTTGTACTGGTGATTATACTGAGCCACACCTTGAGCCCCTGTAGCTAATCTTTTCATACTCTTAACTGTGTCTCTGTAGAGCATAACCTTTAATTTTGAAAAAGTACAACGTGTTGTTGTTTCATTTTGTTCTGTTTTTTCTTTTAAGGATTATACTTCTGTTGTCATGTTTAAAAACACTAAACACTAGGTCCTGGTATTTTCTCCAATCGTTTCTTCAAAAAGTTTTATTAAAAAAATATAATTAAGTCTGTGCTTTAATTTTCATGTCATTGTGAAGTTTAAGTAAAAATTCACTTTTTGCCTATGAATACCCAATTACTCCATTTGTTGAAAAGACCACATTCCTCCATTGATTTCCATCTTTGTCAAAAATTGCTCACCTAGCATGCGTGGGTTCGATCCTCAGCACCACATAAAAATAAAATAAAGATATTGTATCCACCTAAAACTAAATATATATATATATGTATGTATGTATGTATATATATATTGTATTTGTGTATGTTTATTCCTGTGTTCTCTATTCAGTATAATTGATCTGTGTATCCATTCTGAGCTATATAAGAAGTCATAAAATTGAACAGGGTGGTTCTTTCCACTTTATTCTTCTTTTTTCAATATTCTCTTAGCTCTTCCAATTCCTCTACCTTTCTTGATTTTCAAATAATTTTTTCTATATCTACAACAATATTACTAAGAATTTTGATAAGTATTGTGTTAAATCTGTGTATGCATTTAGGATGAATTATCATCTTTACTAATTTGAGTCTTTAGATCCATTTATATGTTATGTCTCTTCATTTATGTTAATTTTTTTGTTTCTTTCTCTCTCTCTCTTAATATCACACATGCTAGGTAAGCACTCTACCACTGAGCTATCTCCTCAACCCATTTTTACTTTTTTATTTTGAAATAGTTTCACAAAGTTGCCCAGGTTGGCCATGAAATTAGGATCCTCCTGCCTCAGCCTCCTCAGTAGCTGGAATTATAGGCATGTGCCACTATGCCCATAGATACTTGATTTCTGTCATCAGTGTCTTATAGCTGCATCAACTGGCATAAAATATAACTCTTTATTTAGCCTATTAATGACATCAATTGTATTGGATTACATCAATTGGTTTTCACATACTGAATCAATCTTACATCTATAGAATTAACTCCATTTTGTCATGGCGTACAGTTCTGTTTATATACTGATTCACTATTATTATTTCGGTGTGAGAATTCAATCGAGGGCTTCACACATGCTGAGCATGCCTCTACCACTGAGCCACATCCCAGTCCCTTTTGATATGTTCAATATGCTAATATTCAGCTAAGAATATTTGGCTATAGGTTTCTTTTTATAATCTTGGTACTATCTTTATCTACTTTTGTTATCAAGGTATTATGGGCCCCATAAAAAGAGTATTAAAAAATTCCAATTTTTCTTGATGAGAAAAAAAGTGGTGGCCAGTAGCGTTATGAAGGCTTATTATGTAGACATTGATATAGAATAGTGTTGATTCTTCTTCAAGTGTTTATTTAAAATCTCCCTTAAAACCATCTGGACCTGGAGATTTCTCCTCCTGGAGTTTTCAAATTCTGGATTTAGTTTCTTTAATAATTATTGGGTTTGTCAAGAACTGCCTACTTAATATTGAATGAGGTTGTGATAATGTGTGCTTTGTGGGAGAACAGATTCACTTCATGTCAGTTCTCAAATACATGTGTAGAGTTGCCCTTTGTTATTCTTTCACATTTGCAGGATTTGTAGGGATATTTCCTATTTCACTCCTGATGTCTGTAATCTGCTTTTTCTCTTATCTTCCCAATGTCCGCCTTTGTCAATCTTACCAAAAAGTTTTCCAGTTTTGACTTTTCAGCTAACTTGCTTTGGGATTTATTGGTATTCCTCTATTGTTCTTCTATTTTCAAGCTCATTGATTTCTGTTTTTAACTTGTTTTATTATTTCCTTACTCTCGGTTTACAGACTTTTTCCCCTAGTTTCTTAAAGTAGGAGCTTAAATTGTTCATTTGACTTTCCCTTTTTTTTGCGGGGGCGGGTACTGGGGTTGAACTCGGGGGCACTCAACCACTGAGCCACATCCCCAGCCCTATTTTATATTTTATTTAGAGACCGGGTCTCACTGAACTGCTTAGCGCCTCACTTTTGCTGAGGCTGGCTTTGAACTCGTAGTGATCCTCCTGCCTCAGCCTCGATAACAGGCAAGTGCCACCGCGCCCAGCAAGCAATTATTCTTAACAAGATCGAATATTTATTGTTATCTTCTCAGTGTTTTAGTCTGTTAATCCTTCCAAAAGCAGTGCCTGGTCTAGGACCCCACTCTTCAGTCGGTTGGAAGGAACCACGTTTGACCTGCTTAAATGAGCACTTCACTGACTGAAAAAGTTAAATATAAGTAACAAAATTCACCCATAACTCCACAGCCCAAGAGGCCCCCCCAGGGGGACTGTGGCAGGATCTTCGCTGTCTTTCGGTAAATCCCCGCTGCTTCCCCAGCAGCCGGCCACCGAAGGTTGAAGGTGCTCAGACTCCCGGCCTCAAAGTGAGCAGCTGCACCAGGAGGCTGCTGGCCAAACCGGCGGAGCTGACCCCGCCCATCGCTTCAGTGCAGCCAATAGCGTCGGGGAGGAGGGGGCGCTGGCTCTGATTTGGCGCCCCCTGGGGTGGGGGCGGGGCCGGGTGGGGGCGGGGCCTGACGGGGGCGGTGCACTCAGCCTCTGCGCGCCAAGTTCGGGTTGAAAGCGGACGCCGCGGGTCACGTGGCTGGCGCGCGGCTGAGCGCAGGTAGGTGGGTGTCCAGTTGTGGTGCGGTCGGCGGCGGCGGCGTGGGACTGAGGCGTAGCCATACACGTGCTGGGCTGCGTTCTGGTAGGTGGGCTCCCTCGGGTCCTAGGTCCTTGGCGCCCAGGCGCTGTGCTACCCAATTTCCCGCCACGCGCTTCCCCAGCCTCTGGGAAACCGAAATAACCAGGAGAGGTGCAGGTTGGCGCCTAGGCGGAGGGGTCCGAAGGCCGTCAGCCGCAGCTCTGGGTCCTGGGCACCTGGATGTAGCGCGGGTGGTGGCCAGTAGCGTTACGAAGGCTTATTGTGGGCATAATTAACCGCCCAGTGCTGAGCGCTTTTCTTACACGAGTACTGTCGGGGTTTTTTTTCTTTTAATATTTTATTTTTTAGTTATAGTTGGACACAGTCTCGTTATTTTAATTCTTTATTTTTATGTGGTGCTGAGGATCGAACCCAGGGCCTCGCACGTGCTAGGCGAGGGCTCCGCCGCTGAGCCACAACCCCAGCCCCAGTACTGTTCGTTTTGAAGACAACTCCTTACCTCGTCCTCACTGCAAGTCAGTGGTAGTAGCGTTTTCCCATTTTGCGGATGAGGAGGGTGAGTCTGGGGGAGAGGAGCTGGGCAAAATGGCAGAACCCAGAATCAAACCCGGATTGGTTTTCAAAGCTGGTTCCTCACTGCTGTCCGCTTTGGCGTGCTCCCAGATCTCTGTTGCCTACAGTCTGCCACCCTCTGTTTTAGGAGACAGGCATTGCACTGTAGGATTCTTGGCCCCGTGCCTGTACTTTGGGGTTCTGAAATTTAAGTGACCCTTGGTCGACTGAAGCTAGCACACTTGAAGCCTTGAATCAGGCAGTTTATTGGACCGGAAACACTAGTTGTGGAATCAGATTTTGAATTTCTTACTTGAGGGGACTTGTAAGGACTTGTGGGTGATTGTGTTTTTGTCTAGTGCTGTGCTCTGGGAAAAGACTTTGGAACTAAAGATAAGCCAGAGTTAAGATTCTGACTCTTCTGATTATATAACCTTAGGCAAGTTAGCTCTCTGACCCTTGGTGTTCTCTGCTTTCCAGAGAACACACAGAAGTTGTTTTTTTGTTTCTTGGCTTTGTTTTGGTTTTTTGTTTGTTTTCCTGGGAAGAAATGAATCTAGGGCTTTATTCTGCAATATAGAGAAAACCACTTTGCATGCCTGCCCCAGAACCCTGGACATAAACTGTTATGACTCAGGAACGGGCCAGCAGTACCCCTTGTGGCCCCAATGTGGGGTTCTGAAGACAGATCAGAGCCTGGAAATTCTGAGCTTTCTTCCCTGAAGCACACCCACGTATCATTATTTAGAGAATTCGATTTTATGTCAGTGGCAAAAATTATACTAAAAATTTATCACTAAACTAACGTTTAATTTTTTCCCCTCTTAGATTTCTTTGCTAAATATCTTCACTGTCCTGATGACTTCTGCTTCTTATTTTCTTGATGCACACTGTGTCCTTATCTTTCTTTAAACTTTCTGCACACCTCTTGTTACTCTCTGCTCAGATTCACTCTCCAGTCTAGTTGTTCAACAAGGCAGTTAGTTCCTTTAGCTAATCCCTGGCTGGATACTCTTGTGTGGCAACATTCCAGGTAAGATTCAAAGGCATAGGAAGACTGATCTCTTTGTAAGTGTCTTCACTTACTAGGTCTTTTTCCCTGTGGTTGTGAGGCTCATGGCACACAATGAATGGCAGTGCAGCTGTTGTGAGCCATATTAGACTGGGGTGCTCAGCAGATGTTACACTGGTAATGGTAATTAAGAAGATCCTAAAATCCTCAGTTTTGGGGGGGGCGGGGGGTGTTAACCCAGGATTGATCTCAGGGGTATTCAACCACTGAGCCACATCCCCAGCCCTATTTTGTATTTAGAGTCAAGGTCTTGCTGAGTTGCTTAGTGCCTTGCTTTTTTGCTGAGGCTGGCTTTGAAGTCATGATCCTCCTGGCTCAACTTCCTGAGCTTTGGGTTTACAGGTGTGCACCACCAGGCCCGGCTCCCGGGATTTTTTAATAACAATAATCACTGATGCTTTTTGAGTATTTACTCTGTGCCTGGCATTGTTCAGATTGCCTTTTGCCTGATGTTTCATTTAACTCACAACCAGCTTCTGAGCATCATTATCCTTGTGTTAGATGTGAAAATACTGAGACACAGGTATCAGTTACTGAGGGTGCTTATTAAGACATGGCAGAGTAGGATTTGAACCCAGAATCTGTGCCATTACTACAGCCTTTCTTGTAGTGAGCTTCAGCAGACATCTCCTTACGTGTGGCCCTTCACTGCTGAATCCAGGTGTCCAACTTGTGACACATCCCCCTGGGTTTTACTAGTTGTTAATTTAAGATTTCACAAATGGATTGGGCAGGGCTGGGAATGTGGCTCAGGCGGTAGCATGCTTGTCTGGCATGCGTGCGGCCCGGGTTCGATCCCCAGCACCACATGCCAACAAAGATGTTGTGTCTGCCGAGAACTAAGAAATAAATATTTTAAAAAAAAATTTTTTTTTCTCTCTTCTCCCCCTCTCTCACTCTCTTTAAAAAAAAAAAATGGATTGGGCAATAACTTGAGACCAAAGTTTTTAGGAAATGGTTTGAGGCCATTTAAGCTGAAAATACATAACATCAAGGTAAAAATCTGTTTTCCTGTTCTTGCTTTGGTCCTTAGGCCTTTGAATCTAATTTTCTGTGGACACTGCTTTGTTCCTCAGGCTTCGGTCACAGGACCCTGATTACTAACCTAAAGGTCTGACATACTGATCCTTAGCAAGTCCTACTTCTTCCTGTCTTAGGGCTTTACACTAAGCATTTGCACTGCCTTTATTGCTCTCTTACCTCAAATCTCATATGCTTGGCTCCTTTCCACTGTTCTAATTTTAGCTCAGCACTTTCTATGGCACAGTCTTAAAATTGCTCACACCCATTTGTTGTCCTCATAAGTATCATCACTATCTGTAACTATTTTGTGTATTTCTTGTTTTCTTCTTTATGATCTATTACCCATCGAGCAGGGACTGTTTGATTAACTTCTGTATTCTTAGCACATAACTGAACATGGGACATAGGAGCAACTCAGTAAATATTTGTTAAATGAATTAATTCAGTGTAGGCTGATAGCTGTGAAATAGTGTGTTCAGATATCAAAAGCTTATTTAGAATCAAACATATGATCTAGCAATTCCACTTTGGGGTATATACCCTACAAAACTACAAAACAAAGACTTGAACAGGTATTTGCACTCACAATAGCCAAAAAGTAGAACCAACCCACATGTCGCACAAGAAATGAATGGATAAACAAAACATGGTAAATGCATACAGTGGAATATTATTTCAGCCTTGAAAAGGAAGGAAATTCTGATACATATATGGGCAAATCTTGAAGACGGACGTTATGCAAAGTGAAGTAAGCTGGACACAAAAGGCCAAATCCCAGATGATTCCACTGCTGTGAGGTACCTAGGATAATCAGATTTCATGGAGACTGAATGGTGGTTTCAGGGGAGAGGAGGGATAGGGTAGTTAATGTTTAGTGAGTATAGTTTCAGCTTCGGCAAAGAAAGTTCTGGAAATGGGTGGTGATGAAGATTATTTAACAATGTGAAAGTACTTAATGCCACCAACTCTACACTTAAAAATGGTTAAAATGATAAATTTTACATTTTATTACCCAAAAAAAGTATGTTTTTCAGCCAACCCTCAGATCTTAGGAACAGATACTATGTTCCCTAAATATAGTATTAACTAAAAATGAGTTTTCCACTCTACATCTTAAAAAGTATATAGTTTCAGGACCTATCTCTTACTGTAATTAAGAATGCCCCAGGATAGTCCCCAAGAAAGAATAATAGATTGAGTTGGTGTAGTGTGTTCTTGGTTATCAAAAATATTCCTGTAGCTTTGGGATTTTGAATCGGTGAATATTCATGATGTGTGGAAAAGCATGATACACACTATGATCTCAATCACACAAAATGGGATGTTGTGGTACACAACCATACAAATGTAAAGTTGTGCTATAGTTGTGTACAATGAATCAAAATGCATTCTGCTGTCACATATACCTAAATAAAATAAATTAATTTTTAAAAAAGCAAAAAACAAAAAAAAGGATGTTGTGTATGTATGTCCACAATCTAAAGGGACATGTCCAACTAAACTGCTTGTGTACACATTTTAATGTTTAAAAAAAAAACAAAGCTATTAAAAAATGCTCCAGGATATAAAGGTTTAACTGAAATGAGACTAAAAATCTTGAACCCCATTTGAATAAAAAAATTCAGACCTTTTTCATATTTCAGAAAAAAAGCTTATTTAGGACTCAAGGAGATAGTATAGGTCTAAAAGGGATATGTACTAAATACTGCTGGAAGGGTGGGAGTGAGTATTTAATCCTATATGGTAATAAGAACAAGCTAGAAAACTCCAGGTGGGAGGGTGATGAGAGCAGGAGCAGACTGCTAGAGTGTGGGGACACACTGCTGCTCTCACCCAGACTAGGAAATAAGTGGTTCAGAATTACTATCTTAGATCAGAAAATAGATGGTTTGTGTGGGCAAAATGGCAACAAGTTGTTGTGCTGAAGTAGAATCTGGGAGTCCATGGGTGAAGGTCAATCCAGCACAGTGTTTGCCCCAGGAGAACTGAATTGAATGTGTTTTCCCAAATGATTACAGGTCTGACCCTCCAGAGGGGAGGTTTCCAAATGCAATTTAGTTCTTTGAAGGTTAAGAAATATTCTGTGTTGCTGGCTACCTTTGAATCCTTTTTAACTTTGAATAGTTAATATTTAAAAGAAATTTTGTTCTTTGGGATTCTAAGACCAGAAGATTGGCTTTTTTTTTTAATATTTATTTTTCAGTTATAAGTGAACACGATGTCTTTATTTTACTTTAAATAGTGCTGAGGATCGAACCCAGTGCCTCACATGTGCTAGAAAAGCACTCTACCTCTTGAGCCACAACCCCAGCCCCACTAGTGAAATATTTTAAATCAACATTTGTTGTTTCATTTGTTTGATCATTTGGCAAATATTTTCTCTTTCTTTTTTTTTTTTTAAATCCATTTTAGGGATTGAATCCATTTTAGGGCTTTGTATATGCTAAGCAAGCACTGGACCTCTGAGCTACATCCCCAACCCAAATATTCCTTCTTCGTGCATTGCTGTTCTGGGCTGTGGGTGATTTAAAAAGAAAAACACTGAGCACTCACTTTGACTTGAAGGAACTTGGTTTAGTCAGAGGTGAACTGTACTATAATATGAACAGTGAGGCAGCCATGCTGGTTCACTGTAGGTGAAGGCTTCCCAGGAAGAGGGTTTAGGTGGGGGGAGTTGGAGAAAGAAGGGTCTGGTCCATAGTTTTAAACGAACAGCAGGGCTGTTGTGGGTTGTGGCTCAGCAGTAGAGCCCATGCCTAGCACATTAGAGGCTCTGAATTCAATCCTCAGCATCATATAAAAATAAACAAATAAAATCAAGAAATTGTGTCTAACTTACAAGAAAAAGGAACTGTGGTTTTGCAATAGATTGTGCTTGTGTATACCAAGCAGTTCTGAGGGAAAGGCTAAAAAAGTATGTCAGCACTTTAGCAACTGGAGGGAACTTACAGATTGTGATGAGCTTTGCCTCAGTTTAATATTTAAGGTCACATACACTTTTCCTGTTTTTCTAGGCAACTTGGAACCAATACAATGGCAACTCCAGTCAATGGGACCCACTGGGATCCTGCTGTGTGGTCTTCCCATGATAAGATGCTGGTGCAGCCCCTCAAGGACAGTGACATTGAGGTGAGATTTGTGAGGTCTTCAGCTTATTTTTACATCAGGTGTTTAAATCTTTTCCTCTCCCTATCCCTCTAACCACCATGATGGATAGATTTTTTTTTTTTTAAGTTATAAGTGAACACAATATCTTTATTTTTTTATTTTTATGTAGTGCTGAGGATCGAACCCGGTACCTCACACATGGTAGGCAAGCGCTTTACCTCTGAGCCACAACCCCAGCCCTAACCACCATGATGGACAGATCTTACACACTCTAGGCCCAGCCCTTAAATCTCTGGTTCTAATCATGAATTAATTTATGGACAGCCTTGCAAATATTATAAGAGTATCAGATTGTGGGGCTGGAGTACAGTTCAGTGGTAGAGTGTTTGCTAGTGGTAGGGTTAAGGCAGTAGTTTGCTAGTGGTAGAGCATTTGTGCTAGGCCTTGGATTTGATCCCAGCACCACACATATGAAAAAGACTGCGAAATTGAAATTGAGTGGCTTGAAAAAGGTTAAAAGTCCTTTGAGGCTAAATTTAGCTATTTCTTAGTTTCTGCAAAGTGTAGAGCATCATGCTGGATGTTCTGGAGGAAGGTGGGGAAAGATTATAGAGATTGAACCTTTCTTTTTATATATATATATATTTTTTTTTTTTTTTTTTTGGTTGTCAATGGATCTTTTATTTATTTGTATGCGGAGCTGAGGATCAAACCCAGGGCCTTACACATGCCAGGCAAACGCTCTACTACTGAGCCACAATCCCAGCCCCTGAACCTTTCTTTACAGTGCACAGAGAGCATATCTATTTAGATGTCCAAAAGCATCTTTTTAAAATTTTTATAACAATGTTTGTTTGTCGTGGTACCAGGGATTGGAGCTAGAACTTCCTTGTGTCCTACCTCTGAGTTATGTTCTCAACCTTTTTTTTTTCTTTTTTAATTTTGAGATGGTGTTACCAAGGCTGGCTTCAAACTTGGAATCCTGCCTTAGACTGTCCATGTAGCTGGGATTACAAGTGTGCATCACTGTGCCCAGCCCCCAATTTAATTTTTTTTTTAATTTATATATGACAGGAGAATATATAATTCTTATTACATATATAGAGCACAATTTTTCATATCTCTGGTTGTACACAAAATATATTCACACCAATTCATGTCTTCATATCTGTACTTTGGATAGTAATTATCATCACATTCCACCATCATTTGGAATGATGCCCTTCCTCCCCTTCCTCTCCATTCCCTCTGCCCTATCTAGAGTTTGTCTATTCCTCCCATGCTCCCTCTCCCTATCTCACTATGAATCAACCTCCTTAAATCAAAGTAAACATTTGGCATTTGGTTTTTTGGGATTGGCTGACTTCACTTAGCATTATCTTCTCTAACTCCATCCATTTACCTGCAAATACCATGATTTTTTTCTCTTTTATTGCTGAGTAATATTCCATTGCGTGTATATGCCAAATTTTTTAATCCATTCATCTACTGAAGGGTATCTAGGTTGGGCATCTAGATTTAGTTTGAGTCCATCCCATTTATTGATTCTAGATTTTAATTCTTTCGCCATAGGAGTCTTATTAAGGAATTTGGGACCTAATCCCACATGATGGAGATTAGGGCCTACTTTTTCTTTTATTAGACACAGGGTCTCTGGTTTTATTCCTAAGTCCTTGATCCATTTTGAGTTGAGTTTTGTGCATGGTGAGAGATAGGGGTTTAGTTTCATTTTGTCGCATATGGATTTCCAGTTTTCCCAGCACCATTTGTTGAAGAGGCTATCTTTTCTCCAATGCATGTTTTTGGTACCTTTGTCTAATACAAGTTAATTGTAATTTTGAGGGTTAGTCTCTGTGTTCCCTATTCTGTACCATTGGTCTACCAGTCTATTTTGGTGCCAAAACTATTCTGTTTTTGTTACTGTAGTATAGTTTAAGGTCTGGTATTGGGATGCCACCTGCTTCATTCTTCCTGCTAAGGATTGCTTTAGCTATTCTGGGTCTCTTATTTTTCCAGATGAATTTCATGATTGCTTTTTTCTATTTCTATGAGGAATGTCATCTGTATAGGGCTTTTGGAAGTATGGTCATTTTGATAATATTAATTCTGCCTATCTAAGAACAAGGTAGATCTTTCCATCTTCTAAGGTCTTCTTTAATTTCTCTCTTTAGTGTCCTGTAATTTTCATTGTATAGATCCTTCACCTCTTTTGTTGATTCCCAAGTATTTTTTTTTTTGAGGCTATTGAAAATGGGGTAGTTTTTCCTCATTTCCCTTTCTGAAGATTTGTCATTGATATACAGAAATGCCTTTGATTTCCCAACTCAAATTTTCAAGTATGGTTTCTATTGGATGTATATCATTTTCCCACCATCATAAAGTGAAAAATATATTAAATCTGTATTTGTAAAATTTTCCCCCAAAAAGAACCAATCAGCCATCACCCTAATCCTCCCCAAACTTCCCAGCCCTAGGCAACCATTAATCTACTCTCTATCTCTCTGGATTTGCTGAAGCATCTTGTTGGTAAAGAAGAAGAGCAGGGAATGAAGTTCAGGGAGGGAGAAACTTGGTGGAAAGCAGGGATAAAAATAACAGGATGGTGTAGAATTAAAAATTAGGTGGGATGTGTAAAGATAATTTTCTTGCCAGAGCTGTGACACATGCCTGTAAATCCCAGCAGTTTGAGAGATTGAGACAGGAGGATCACAAGTTCAAAGCTAGCCTCAGCAAAAACAAGGTGCTAAGCAATTCAGTTGAGACCCTGTCTCTAAATAAAATACAAAATAGGACTGGAGATATGGCTCAGTGGTCAAGTGCCCTGAGTTCAATCCCTGATACCAAAAAGAAAACCATAATTTTCTCCTAAATCATTTTGTTTTTCTTTATTCATTTTATTATTAATTCTTTCCTGGATGCTAAAGTCTTTAAGGAAGACATGTTCTCTCCCATAAGTGTTATGTGAGTTTTCATAATCTGCTTATTTGGGTTAAAGTCGATTTCTGAGAGCAAATATGAATCTGTAATAGTATCTTTTCTCTTTAGGAGATACGGCTTTGATTGGAGCAAAATTTTAAACCAAATGTCCAACTGTCCAGCATCTGTTTTCTTTTCATAAGGTTTACAACATCATTAAGAAGGAAAGTAACCGGCAGAGGTTTGGATTGGAGCTGATCGCCTCGGAGAATTTCGCCAGCCGAGCAGTTTTAGAGGCCCTGGGCTCTTGCTTAAATAACAAATACTCTGAGGGGTACCCAGGCCAGAGGTAAGTGAGTGTCTTCCAAGTCCTGTTCCTGACATAGTGATTTGAAGTACTAAATCGGTGTAAAATGTAAACTTCATAAAATGGCTTCCCAGCTGGATGGAGTGGCACACCCCTGTAATCCCAGTGACTCAGGAGGCTGAGGCAGGAGGACTGCAAGTTCAAACCCAGCCTCAGCAACTTAGTGAGGCCCTAAGGAACTCATATAGACCCTGTCTCTAATAAAATATAAAAACAGGCTGGGGATGTGGCTCAGTGTTTAAGCACCCCTGGTACCAAAGAAAACAGGCTTCCCAATTGTGGAGTCTGTGCTCTTCCACTCCTGCCCTCCTGCATAGCTCTTGTATGATTTCTAGCCTGTGATACCACTGCTGTTCCTGGAGCAGGTATATTCAGGTTTACATTTAACAGTCTCGTTGGTAGCTTTCTAGAATAGCAGGCCAGGCTAATAAGGAGTATCATCCAACCCTGACTGAGAAAAGATCAGTGTCCTTTGAGGGATGTCACAAAAAATGACTGTTACTCTCATCTGTATCAGAGTGGCTGAGAAATGAAATGGAACTGATAGTGCAGGCTGAGTGTCTCATCTGAAATGCTTAGGACCAAGAGTGCTTCAGATTTCAGAGTTTTTCAGATTTTGGAATATTTGTATAGACTATACTGGTTAAGTATTCTAAATGTTCCAAAATTTGAAACTTTTTGTGATGCTGGGTTGCAAGATAGGTAAGTTCTAATGCATTCTAGGCTCTACCAATGAATTATATACCCCACTCCCTTTGAAACTTTTTTTTAAAATGTTCCTTGTGATTTCTTCCATCCATGTTCAAAGTTTGAAAACTTACTGCATAAATTATTAGATTTGTGCTTAAGTACTTCAGTTTTGGAGGTGCTATTGTAAATGGTTTGTATTTTTTATTTTAAATCCTGATTATTCCTGTGTCGTTGATATACGGGACATGAGTTGCCTTTTGTCTATTGGCTATCTACTATATCTCTTCTATCTCCAACTTTGTCTGTTTTCTGTTTGTATAGCTGAATTGCTGAGACTGAATATTTGTAAATAGAGTAACTTATTTTTATAGTTTTGGAGTTTAGGAAGTTCACGGTCTGGGAACTGCCTCTGGTGAGTGCCTTCTTTCTAGTGGGGACAGTGCAAAGTCCCAGAGCAGTGCTGGGCATCACATGGTGAGACCTTGGTATACAAGAAGCTTCAGATTTGGGAGCATTTGGGTTTCATATTTTAAGTTAGAGATGCTCAACCTGTATAAATTTATTGTTATAAATGTTGGATTTAGGGGCTGGGAATGTGGCTCAAGCAGTAGCGCACTCACCTGGCATGTGTGCGGCCTGGGTTCGATCCTCAACACCTCATACAAACAAAGATGCTGTGTCCGCCGAAAACTAAAGAATAAATATTAAAATTCTCTCTCTCTCTCTCTTTAAAAAAAATAAAATAAAATAAAGGTTCCATGTGGGCCTCATGACTATAAAAAATAAATAAATAAATAAATGTTGGATTTACATGTGCAGTGATTACTTTTCTCAACTCTTTTGAACCAGTGTAAGCCATATATGTGTGTGTGTGTTCATACATACATATAGACATAGGTTTGTGTGTATATATGAAATATATATATTTTTTATATATATATTTATTTATTTTGAGATTGGACCTTTCTATGTTGCTGGACTTCAGGGATCTTCCTTCCTCAACCTCCCAAGTGTTGGGACTTTAGACAGTGCCACCATATCTAGCTTCATTTGGGCGGGGGGGGTTGTGGTACTGGAAATTGTACCCAGGGATATTCTACCACTGAGTTACAGCCCAAGCCCTTTGTTTTTTATTTTGAGACAGAGACTCACTAAGTTGTCCAAATTGGACTAGAACTTGAGATCCTCCTGCTTTAGCCTCCTAAGTTGTTGGGATTACAGGCATGCATCACCTCGCCTCCCCATCTGTTGTTTGTCTTTTACAGTCATTATCAGACAAAGAAAGTACAGAATAAGACATGATCTTGGTGAATTTTAGCATTTGTATTCCAATGGACACAGGAAAAGAAGGGTCACCCTTGGAGAATGAACTGTCATTCTATCCTGAGATGCCCCTGAAATTCTCTATAGAAGTCTGAGGGTCAAATTGAAGGCTTTGTCTTTCTCCTACTGTGAATAACTACCTCTGCCTTGAGCTTTGGTAGATTTACTGAGTAACAACTTATATATCTCATTGGATCCTCCTACAACCTCATAGGACAACATGGGGAGCTGAGACTTGCTCACTCCCCTCCACTGTATTCTTCCCACTCCTGAGCTTTGGCCTCTGCTGGAAGCAAAGGTCAGGGCCCACAGTGGATGTGGGGCTCCTGCTTCTCTCCCACAGGTATTATGGCGGGACTGAGTTTATTGATGAACTGGAAACACTCTGTCAGAAGCGGGCTCTGCAGGCCTATCACCTGGACCCACAGTGCTGGGGGGTCAACGTCCAGCCTTATTCAGGTGATGATCACATCTAGATTGTCCCATGCAGCCCCTCCAGGCCAGGCCCCCAGACTGATGTTTACAAAAGGAGTCCTAAGTAAGAAATGAGCCAAAGAGACAGGTGTGTGCATCCTTCTTCACTGCCTTGGGCTCCCACCTCTGCACTCCCACTTCTCTTACTCTCAAGGAGACTGGTACAGGGTTAAGTGGGGATCGCTTGGGGATCGGGGAGGTCATATTGGTGGCCACATGTGTTCTCAGCCACTCCTGGATAATCATCTAGTATCCAAGCTCCTGGATGCCACTCAGGAAGAAATACTCACATCTTTTCTGGCCTCCTGTTTCAGGCTCCCCTGCAAACTTTGCAGTGTACACGGCCCTCGTGGAGCCCCATGGGCGCATCATGGGTCTGGACCTGCCTGATGGGGGCCACCTGACCCATGGGTTCATGACAGACAAGAAGAAAATCTCTGCTACATCCATCTTCTTTGAATCTATGCCCTATAAGGTAAGAGATAATCTGTCTTTCCGTTCCCGTTCATTGGAAACCTCCAGTATCTGACTGTTCTTGTCAGTTTAAGTAGTTCTGTTCCTGTGACACTTCAGGAAACCCTACCTTGTCCCATTTTCATTTTTCTGCCCTGGAGGACTCCTCAGGCTCCCAGGGCCCACTGGGGACAGCTGGGATAGATGTTTTTGTTTTGTTTGTTTGCCATGTTAAGCAAAGAAAACACAGAATTTGATGTGGTGCTACGATACCATGGAGGGAGGGAGGGAGGGGAATAGGCAACAGCTGAGGAGGGTTCAGATGCAGCCAGGTGGTGGCCACCCCAGAACTAGGGGAACAGCACCTAGAGTACACTAACAGCTCCTAGCAACCAGGTTAGCAGCAGCTCTACTCTCACCAAGAAACAATCCCACCTGGTTCCCCTGTGGGCCAGCAGCTGCAACAAGGATTGCACTGTCCCTAACTCTAGCCCCAGTACCATTGACAATGGCCACAGACCTCCACAGCCTAGCTAAACCCAGCCACTACCTACTCAGGGTTCCAGCCCATTCCTGCAGCCATCACTGCCCACTTTGCACAGACCTGTCCTCAACCGGCATCAGCCATGTGCCCAGAAAAGGAACCAGTACCCTCAGAACCAGTGCCCAGCCCTGCCTCTGGGGTTTGTGGGGCAGATCTTTAATGGGAGCTGCATCTGTATAAATACGCAAGTTTAAAAAATGCAAATAGGAGGTGGGGGCTCAAGTGAGACAGTGCTTTGTCTATAATAACACTAAGGGTGATGGATAGAAAAGAATAATGAGCATTGTCTTTGTTGCCTGGTGTTGTGATTCTTTCTGGTGCCTAGGAGCCTTTCTTTGTGTGTGTCTTATTGTCAAATAGTGCCATTTCTGGTTGTTTTCTACTTGCTACCAGGAGAAAAAAGTCTTTAAACTTGCTAAATATTGGAGGTGTAATTTTCTTCTTTCAAGATCAAGCCAGTATTCCACATGGACATCCCATGTTGTTTGTGGTGTCCTGTTGGTTGTCTCTGTTTGCTCAGAAAACACAGGTGTGTGTGTGTGTGTGTGTGTGTGTGTGTGTGTGTGTGTGTGTGCGTGCAAGTGACTGTTTGTTTTATGGAAAGCCTAAGTGTTTCCAGTCAAAGATCTTCTCAGTGGCCCAGACCAGCCTTGAGGCCAGATTTTTAAACATGACAACAGTTATTAAAAAAAACACTTTTGTATTTGGATTTAGGACATAAAAGCCAGTTTTCTACAGTTTCTTTTGCTATTGAAAGAGTTGTGGTAGAAATACCAGGATAGTAGCACTTACCCATAGTCTAGCCACATGGGAGACTAGTTTTTTTCATAAAAATTTTCCCACTGATAGATGCCTCAGCCTTCTGTGTTTTCTTTTGACCTGTGTCATTTATTTACACTGATTTCCCCCTCCCCCATAGTTATGGTTTAATGTAATCGTTATTCAAATAGGAAAAATAATTTTAAAGACCTTATTTTACTGGTGCTCACTATCAGGGGCTGCCTTTTTCAGATGCTGGCATAATAACTGAAGATATCTTTTAAAAAAAATGAAGTACATAATTTTAGAATGGGATCTTTAAAGTTGTTACGACTCAAAGTCAAAGTTGTTTCCTTCCATTTTAACAAAACTGAATAACCTGTGGTTGTCTAGTTATAATTCAAAGACCGACATTGATCAGAAGAAGTCAATGAATAAAAGAATCTTCATTCTTCCCCTCGCCCAAAGAAAGTCCAGTTTCTACTCTTTCTTTTGCTATTGCAAAAGCTGTGGCAGAAACCCTAGGATAGTGGCACTTACCCATAGTCCTGGCCACATGAGAGACAGAGGCAAGAGGATCGATTGAACCCAGAAGTTTCAGTACAGCCTGGTCAACATAGTAAGACTCCATATCCAAAAAAAAAGATTGTTTCAGAGAGTAATTATTGACTTGTTTTCTGGAGCCTTCTGGAGTCTTCTTGAGGCCTTGGGTAGCTTCTTGCTTTTCTCTATTCCTGAAGAATTTATTCTGGGCATTAGGAAATGAAGTCTTGTGTTCCAGTTCCCTCTGGCCATCCCCATCTTTGACATGCACTCTGTAGGCTGCAGCTCCCTGGGCATAATGGGAGCCTACCCTGTGGCTGGCCTGCCAGAGTGTGGAAAGGCAGGGCCCAGGACCCCTGCTGAGGCGAACCACACACAGGAGGCACAGCACATCTGGAGGGTGCTGTGAGTGGCACCCTCAAGTCCTCAGTTACTAGGGAGAAGACAGGCCTGATTGGCCTATCAGCAGCCACACATGCTGTGCCTCTTCTGTAGGTGTTCTGGGGTGGCTTTCCTGCTCAGCCTTTCCCTGGACCACCTGCCTCTGTCTTCAGCCCTTAACCCTGCACCACGGGACTCTGCAATTGCCTAATACAGGCCAGAATTCATTTCTTGGTGGAAGAACAGCAACACTGAGTTCTAGCCCACTTCTGCATGGTCTCCTCCTGTCTTCCTCTATCACTGGAATCCCTCCCATTCCTTGTTCCTGCAAGACTGAGGGGGTCTCTCTTCCTAGCCACCAGCCTCTGCACTGCCCTCACCCCACTGCAGTTTGTTATAAATGCCTGTGAATGCTCCAGGAGCATTAAAAAACAAAAACAAACAACAACAACAAAAAAAAAAAACAGTAAGATCCCAAAGTGAAAAGCTTTAAAAAACCTCCAACATTTAAAAAGAAAAACATGGAAGGATAGACCACCAATAGATTTTTTTTGGTAATTATGGCTTTAAAGAAAAGTTATAGGGGCTGGGTGTGTATCTCAGTGGCAGGGCACTTGCCTTCCATGTGTGAGACCCTGGATTCAATCAAGCACTCAAAAAAAAATTTTTTTTTTTTTAAATTATTGAGATGGAATGCATTCTGTTGCCCAGCCTGGGCTCAAGTGATCTTTCTGTCTCAGGACCCTGAGTAGCTGGGACTATAGATGTGTGCCACCACACCTGACCATGTCCACTTTTTTTACTGCGTGTCAGTTAGGATAAGTTTCATTGGGACAATGGATTCTTTATTCAGTTCAGAAAAACTACATGCTTAAAACCAAAATGGTCTTTTAACCTGACTCCTAGATGCTGTCTCCTCAGTGCCTAGAACTTTGCATGCAAGCCTCTGTAATTGTGCTGGATTGTAAGAGCTTCATCTGGGGATGACTATCAAACCTGGAACCTTTCACTCCAGGTGTGCTGGTAGTTTTTAGTAGGTCCCAGTAATTGAGAGGAAGGAAGGCTCAGGTTGGGGGCTGCAGACCATGAAGTTTCCCTTGGTACCTCCTCCCCACATCCCAGACCTGGGGGTTTGCTCTGCAGTAATCACCTTTCAATATGTTTACCTCTCCTTTGCCCATATGTTTGAACTAAGATATGTGCTTAAAAAGATACATTTTGGTCTGGGGATATAGTTCAGTGGTAGAGCACTTGCCGCCTAGCATGCATGAGGTCCTGAATTCAATCTTCAGTACCACAAAAACAAAACAAAACAAAAGAAACAATTTTGTGATGCTGGACTTTGAACTGAAAATAGGCTGTTTTATGTTTCACATTTAGTTCTATACTTAACATATCCATCTCCTTCAGTACTTTTCATTTATTCCTCATAGTCAGCTATGTAACCCTTGACCAACATGTCCCTATTCCTCCCCCCAGCCTTTGAAAGCCACCATTCTCTCTGCTTCTTAGATTCCATATATAAGTGAGATCATGAAGGTTTTGTCTTTCTGTACCTGGCTTATTTTACCTAGCTTGGTGTCCTCGAGGTTCATCCATGGTACCACAAGGGGAAGAACTCCCTTCTTTTTAAGGTGGATGGCCTTCCACTTCCCATTTTCCTCATTCATTTGTTGGTGGGCAGTGGGTTGCTTCCATGTCTTGGCCATAGTGAACAGTGCCATGGTGAATATGGGAGTACAGATGTCATTTCGGCAAACTGATTTCCGAGTTCTTAGGATGTCCACACAGAAGTGGGGATCGCTAGATCTGAAATTTATTTCTGTGTATTATTTGAGGTAACAGAGAATCTTTTGTTTTCCATGTGGATACCCAGTTGGTCTAGAGCCATTTATTGAAAAAGCCATTCTTTCTCTACCGGACTTTCCTGTGGCCACTGATATTGCCCAGATATCCTACATCGCATGGAGTTCTGTTCTGGGGTGCTCTTCCTTCCATCAATCAGATTGTCTGCCATTCCACAAATATTGCCTTAATTACTAGCATTTTAAAATGCCTCTTGGCCTGGGGTTGTGACTCAGTGGTACAGTGCTCACCTAGCATGTGCAAGGCCCTGGGTTCGGTCCTCAGCACCAAATAAAAATAAATAAATAAATAAAATAAAGGTATTTTGTCCAACTGCAACTAAAAATAAATAAAGAAATATTTAGGATGACTCTCAATAATGTTCTTGTTGTGAAGCTTTCACTGCACCTTGGTCCTCTCAAGTTAGGAACACAGGTTGATGAAGGAAAACAGATTTATTCAAAGCCATTCTTGAGGAAGACAGGAAACCTTTTCTGTTTAAAAAATCTCCATCTTCTGGGGCTCAGGGGCATGAACAGGTTTTTGTTGTTGTTGCTGCTTGTTTTTGTTGTTTTGGGGGTGGTGGTGTCAGTAGTGAAAATTGAACCCAGGGACACTCTCCTCCCAAGTTACATCCCCAACCCTTTTTATTTTATTTTAAGGCAGGGTCTTACTAATTTATAGTTGCCTTGAACTTTTAATCCTCCTGCCCTAGCCTCCCACCCAGCTTCTTGTTTTCTTGTGTTACCAGTGATTGAACCCAATGGCATTTTACCCACTGACCTACATCCCCAGCCTTTATTTTTAATTTTGAGACAGGTTCTAAGTTAAGTTGCCTTACCTGCCTTGAACTTGCAATCCTTCTTAGTTGGCTTCCTGAATTGCTGGGATTATAAGTGTAGCCAATGCACCTGTCACCCAAACAGCTTTTACGAGAGGGAAAAGAGGGCAAGACCAGGTAGGAAAGACTTGGTCATTCATCTCATTTCACTAAAATGCAGGAGACAAGTTTGTGGGAAAACAAGTGTCATTCAAAGCTGGCTTTGTGGAGGTAGATCAGGACATTTTCTTTCTCAAAGCTCCATCTTCCAGGAATCCAGGGATACAGAGAGCTTTCATAAGAGGACAGAGAGCATATTGGGACCAAAGGCAGAAAATATGTATTTATATAGATTTAGCTAGACTGTGTTAATCGGAAGCTTGTCACAGTCTCAGCACACCCTCCCTCATGACAGAGGGAGAGGAGAGGGAGGCCCTTCTGAATCAAAAACAATTTAGAGCTTTTAATTTCTTCCTTTCTTTTTGTTTTTAAGAATTATGGGGCTAGGGATGACTCAAGTGGTAGCACGCTCTCCTGGCATGCATGAGACACTGGGTTCGATCCTTAACACCACATAAAAATAAAATAAAGAATTAACAATACAGCTTATTAGTACTGAATTGTAATTTAGTGGAAATACAACTTAGTCAAGACTGTATTTTGAATATTCACAGAAAATTTCATGTCATGTTGTACACAAAGTAGAGTCATATTCTTCGTGTCTTCTTACATGTACTTAGGGTAATGAAGACCCTCACATTCCACCATCTTTCCTACTCCTACACCCCCCTCCCTTCACTTTTCCCCTTTTCCCTGTCTAGAGTTCATTTAGGGCTCTGTTACAGGGGGAAAGTGGGACCAAAGGTAGGAAATCCACCTTCTGCCTCAGTCTCAGTCTCTGTTGCCACCTTATCATATCAGAAGGAACATCAGCCTCCTGGAGGAGAGATAGAGCAAGTAAATATAAGAAAACATCTTCCAAGGGAATTGATAGAAATAGTTTTTATTTTTAAAAAGTCTTTGAATTGCTCTGCTGCCATCTCAGACACCTTGTGTTACTTAATTTATGGTTTTTGAGACATAATAACTTTATTAATTTCATTTTTATTGATTATATGTGCTTATGTAATTGAGTTTTGGTTTTGGTTGGATGCGGGGTTGTAGTGGGGTTGCACAAAGCCCTTTGTGCCTGCTAAGCATGAGTTCTATCACTGAACTATACTCGGCATGATTTTTGCCTTTTGATGCAATATCCAGTGACTTTGTAAGTTAACTTATTCATTGTAATAGTTTGCCTCTGGGCTTCTGGGTTTTTGGGGTGCCCAATCATGCTGCTATGAGAATATCAGTTTTCCTAATATTCATGGCTTTTATTTTGTTTTCTTATCTCATGGTGATACTGAAAACTTGGTCCTTGTCCCCAGTGCAGATACAATAATGAGGGCAAGGTATTAAGAAAAAGGAAAAAAAAGTTGTATTAATTTGCTAGCAAATGATAAAGGCCACAGACTCATGTTCCAGGGAGGCTGCAATTCTAACTGCCACGGGAACAGAACTCTTTTTAAAAGGAGACTACAAGAGCTAGGCTTCAGGTGTGTCTATCAGGAATCATAATTCATATCCAGATGGCTGCCTTGAGAACCATTTCTTAGATCCACTGTTACCAAACTCCCAAGTATGGATTTTTTTAATCCTGTGGCCAGTGGTCTGAAGGATGCAATAAACACAGGCTAGGACAGGAAGAATGTTGCTTCCCCAGCAACTAGGGGAGGGAAGATGGAAAGAGGAAGGAGAAAAGATGAACACGTTAGTCTTTCAATAAGCCAGCAGTGGTCAGGCAGCAAGGTTTATGTCAGGTATAAAGTGTACCCTGTTACATGGAAGGTCCTCTTGGTCCTTGGAACAGAAATTGTTAGGCAGGTTTTTTGTTGTATTTGCTTTGTCTCGTGCCTGAAAATCACCATGTTTTGGACTGTGCATCATGTGTGAAGGCTATTTCTTGTATATTTTTCTTTCTACAGGGGCTTTGGGGTTCCTCCTTCTCAAAGGATAGCACCCCAGGGCCGGGATTCGCTTTTCTCCCGAGGCCTCTCAGGTCATCCTTGGTTATGTGAGCCATACGTGGTTGTCTAAACTCCTTGTGCAGGCTGAATACACCTGTGCCCTGCACAAGGATCAAGGGGATCAAGGCCTAGTTTGGTACATGGCTCCTGTTGTCATGGTGGGTGGAAAGGTGGCGGGCATGGTTGGTTGACCAGAGGAAGCAGGTGAGCCTATGTGTCCCTGACGCCCCCACAGGTGTACCCAGACAGTGGCTACATCAACTACGACCAGCTGGAGGAAAATGCCCGCCTCTTCCACCCGAAGCTGATCATCGCAGGTGAGGAGTGGAGCGAACAGCGGCCTTATTCATAGGCAGCGCCCATGCCTGTTACAGAGGGTATGAACAACAGCTCCATCCTGCCTTAGCTCACTGCTAGTTTCTGCCTTGGATGGCTAAGCTTCTTGGCTCCAAGTATATTTTTTTCTTTAAGGACAGGTTTGTATTTCCCACCATTAGTACTCAGTGGAATAAGATCTGAGGCTGTACTAAGAGAAACATTTAGAAATGTTAATCCCTCTGACTCACTGGCCTTCACAATTACAGGCCATCTCAACCACCATTACCTTGAAAACGGAGGTCACAGAGGTTACCTTTAGCACAAAGGTGTTTTGGGAGGGCACTCTCCATTTGTGTCTTCAAGAGATTTTAGGGGAGAAATCTTCAGGCTTTGATATCTTCACATCCAGAGGCCATTTGTAGATTTGCACTGAGGCTAACTTGGCTGCCCTCAGGCATCTTTACTCTATTGTCATCCTTGTCTCAGGAACTAGCTGCTATTCTCGAAACCTGGACTACGAACGTTTGCGGAAGATTGCAGACGAGAGTGGGGCATATCTCATGGCAGACATGGCACACATCAGCGGGCTAGTGGCAGCTGGCGTGGTGCCATCCCCTTTTGAACACTGCCATGTGGTGACCACCACCACCCACAAGACCCTGAGAGGCTGCCGTGCCGGCATGATCTTTTACAGGAAAGGTGAGCTTCTGACTTTTGGGTAGATGGGTATTGGGTGACATTTTTGCTGTTGGGGTTCAGGTTTGGTTGAGGAAGCTAAAAAAAAAACTGGAAATTCTTGAAAATATTATGATGCAGTCCCTTAAAAAGCTACTTAGGAAAGAGCAGTGACAGGCTTTATGAAGAGGACTTACAAGGAAGTCCTGAGCAAGAATTGTAGCCCCATTCCTGTGCATGCAAGTGCTAGGAAAACAGGAAGGGGATCAGCAACTGCTGTGTGTTGGAATGATGCAGGCTCTCGGTGCATGAACTTTAATGCACATTTCACCATTTTAGTGGGGAATTTCTCTTTCCAGTACCTTATAGCCCATCTCTAAGCCTGTGTGCCCCTTATTTTTAGATTCCCATACCTGGGAAACCACTTGAGCGGTCAGGGCCTTGGTTAGCGATCCTGTGATGACATCTGTGCCCCAGCCTCACATCAGCAGAGAAACCCGCCCTGGATAGCTGCATTATTCTTACTCCTGGGCAGGGCCTCCTCGCCTTGCCCCAGCTAGGACTTGACCCAACGAGGTGCCCATGCAGTTTCCCAGCACTCTGTTGTCCCTGTGCTCCATTGAGGTCCTTCTTCAGTGGGGTTGATGCTTTTGAGTCAGGTGACCTGTCCCACCTGACTTGGAGGCCTTTTATTTCTGCCATTGTATGTTAATGTGATTCATTAGACCCTCTGCTGGCTGACAGGAGCCAGAGGACCAAAGCAAACCCTGGCTCTCCCACACACAGTGGTCCCAGGCTGCCCGTGCAGCTTCTTGGTGCTTCATTTCTTCACTTCTGGAGTGGGGACTGGAGTAATAGCACCTGCCTCACTGGACTGCTACTCAGGAGATTAAATGAGTTTACACGAAGTGCTCAGAGCAGTTCTTGGCTCCCAGGATATTCCAAATAGGAATATTTGGATGTGGCTCAGTGGTAGAGTGTTTGCCTGGCATGCATGAGGCCCTGGGTTCTATCCCTATGAGCAGCAAAAAGAAAAAGCAACTTCCTTAGAGGTGTTAGTATTATTTATTTTTAAGTAATAATTTATTAAGTTATTACTGTGTGAATATTTTCTCAGAAAGAAACCTTTCCCATGCGTAGCCATCTGAGCATTATATCTGTTAAGTCGCCTTCCTAGTCATCTTTAAAGAAATGCCAAAGGCATGTGCTTTGTTACAGTCTCGGGAGGGAAATTTCTGTTCCTTTCCACTTTAAGGCTTCATTATAGTCAGGTGTTATGAAGAAAAGAAGCCATCATAGGTGACAGGTGTAGAGTGGAGGTGCTGAAGCTAGGGTGCCAGTCAGTGACCCATCCTGTTTCCAAAAAATCCCAGCAACTCAGGAGGCTGAGGTAGGAGGATCTCAAGTTCGTGGCCAGCCTCAGCAACTTGGTGAGGTCCTTCTCAAAATTAAAAATGCTGAGGATGTAGTTCAGTGGTTCAATCCAAAAAAAAAAAAAAAGGGAGGGGCAGCAGCAAGGCAGCCTGGTGCTTACTATACCATAAACAATGTAGGTTTGAGAAGATGGAGGGGTCAGCTTATAGAACTGCATTTTGATGGTATTTTTTACCCAGGAGTGCGCAGTGTGGATCCCAAGACAGGCAAAGAGATTTTGTACAACCTGGAGTCGCTCATCAATTCCGCTGTGTTCCCAGGCCTGCAGGGAGGTCCCCACAACCATGCCATTGCTGGTAAAGTATCACCAAGCCTACCCCAGAGCCCTTGGGTGGCACCATCAGCCATGAAGACCTCCCATTTGCTCCAATGGTCATCCCATGGTCTCTAATTCCCACCTCACCTGTCCTCCAAAAGTGTGAGCCAGGACTTCCACTGGGGAGGGGACTTGGGGGATCATCTCTGTCCAGAAGATGCTAACACAGAAGAAAAGGTGGACCACTGGGATTGGTACAAGATGAGGACAGGAAGGAAGTGGTGTCTGCTCCACTCATGGCCATCCTCCAGTGAAACTGGGTCAGGCCAGAGCCCCCTTTGAGAAACAACAGAGAAGAACTCAGACAGAAGAGGGCTCAGCAAAGGCTGAGGAAGAGTAGAATCCAAGCCCTGCCTGTCAAGGCACCTGTGTCTGACCCGCACACCTGGGGCCACACTGATAACTCCTGTGTTGATTCTGTGACTGCCCAGCAGGGTCTCACTGATATATTTCTTCTATTTGGACAAGTGACCAAGGACATCTGTGATGGCCTGAGTTATCCCACTGTTCTCTTATAACAAGACGATTAGTGGAACTTGGGCCAAGGAGCTCAGGATGAGATGTGGCTTCTCAGTTAAGGAGAAGTGCCATTGTTTTCAAGGAGGAGACCTAAGAAAGCAGCCAGTGGTGGAATCTTAGTCCTAAGGGCATGGCAGGCATTGGGAGCCTAAGGGGAGTTTTCAAGTCCTCTGTTTGCACCTGCTTCCTCAGTCTCCCAGTTCCTTCCACTCAGGAATGCTGGGCTCACCTAGTGCCCAGCCACTGTTCTCACAAACCCTGATGGGAGACTCAATGGCAGGACTCAGGTGCATGGATTTTGTGTGATCCTGCATTTTTTTTCTGTGTCCATCTAGTAAAGGAGCCCTCTGCCCTGAACGCAGGTGCCAGATGAGTCTGGATGGCACACTGTAAAGCAGGGCTGTCCCTTCCATCCAGGCATGACCTGAGCAATCAGCCTAACTTGTGTCTGCCCAACTTTTTAGGCAGCTGAATGATGATTTTCATACATCAAGCTTATAAAGAACTATGAAATCCATCTTGTTTTTAAAAGCTTTTACTTGGTAATCTATTAGCACTGAATCCCCATGCCTAGAGAAAGTTTACCTCAAAAGCAGTTGTTCAGAGAAAGGTTTCCTCAGTGAGGTCTGCAGTAATCATAGAGTTAAAGATATGGGGCTGGGGGTGTAGCTAGGTGGTAGAGCACTTGTCTAGCATACATAAGGCCCTAGGTTCAATCCTCAGAACCACAAAAAAGAAATATATCACTGGGCACTGTAGTGCATGCCTGCAATCTCAGCTACTTGGGAGACTGAGGAAACAGGTTTGCAACTTAGCAACACCCTATCTCAAGACAAAAAAAGTCTAGTATATAGCTCAGTGGTAGAGCACCCCTGGATTCAATCCCCAGTATCAGAAAAAGAAGAAGTTTTATATTATTTGACACTAAAATGTAATCCCCACAACCTTGGTTGGAATTGCAAAGCAAGGCAGCATCAGGAGAAACAGGGCTGCTTTCGATTCATCATCTTTCAATTCTTTCTTGCCTTCCTGACCCACCATCTCCCTAACCAGGGGTTGCGGTGGCCCTGAAGCAAGCTATGACTACAGAATTCAAGATCTATCAGCTGCAGGTGCTGGCCAACTGCAGGGCTCTGGGTGAGGCCCTCACGGAGCTGGGCTACAATATAGTCACAGGTACAAATACCACATGATGTTGGGCAGGCCTACTCTCCTCATGGGTGATCAGAATGTGGCCTACAGGGTGGCGGCTCTGGGCGCTGCAGGGCCTCCTTTGTGTCCTCCTCTTCCCCCCCCCCCACCCCGTTCTTTTTGCCTTACCAGCTGCCCTGTCAGATCTGCCACACATGACAACAGAAGCCGCTACTTAATACCCAAAGTGAGGAATAGGTGTCCTCAGAATAGCTCTATGGGGCAGTACCTAAAGCTCACCTGAGAGGTTGGGCTGCAGCCAACACACTCCTGTAGGTGGCAGAGCCAGGACTTGAAATTGGCAGGACCCAGTACCCCTCTCTACATTGTCTTGCTCTGAGGTCAGGGCATATCAGGCTCTCCCTGCTGGGAGGGAGACCCTGATTGGCTGCATTTTCCTGAAGAGTTGGCTTGCTAGAGACTTGTTTCCTTTTAATACAAACCTTCTGGATCTGGTTGACCATGAGTGAGGTGGATTTCCAGATGAGGACCCCATGGGTTGCCACCCATGTCACTGATACTGCGGATTTCTCCAGGAAGGACAGCATTTTCCTCAAATCAATGTCAGTTGCCATGAGGAAAGGTGGCTTTTTTATACACAGGGCTGCCCTGTTTGTAGCAATGGTGGTCCAGAAATGTGGGGTCATGGCATCTGTAGGCTTAGGGGCTTTCTCTCTGTACCCTATCCTTCACTATCTACAGAGATCCCAGTCCCATGGTTTAAGGAGTGGTGCTCCCACCAAACAGTCCATTAGTGGCAGATTTGGCAGGGGCTGGGTGAGCTCCACCTTAGCCCTGGGCAATACCCATCCATCACTATCTACTTGGCTTCTTTTCCTATTTCATCCTTCACATCTTCAAGATATTGAAAATCCAATATCCAATGGGAATAGAAATCCCCATGTGGACTGTGACCTTCAAGGTCCCTTAGTTTCTTAAACCTGGTTGTGCACACAAATCCCCTGGGGATCCTGGTAAAACACAGCTTTGACACAGCAGGTCTGTGGTGAGGGCTGCATTTGTAGCCATTCTAGCTCCCAAGTGGCACTGGTTGGGGAACTGCCATGGGAGTTGCAAGGAGTTAGGTCCTGTTCATTTTAGCCACAGGAAAGCCCTGGTGTCAGCAGTCTCATCCACCTTCCTACACGCCAGGCCTGCCCTGTCCCTGGTGACATCATCTTTGTTCATTCTACCGTTTGAGATGTGGTATAGACATGGAAGCAGATGATGACTGTGAATATCTACATTGTGCATGGCACCACGCCAAGCATTATGATTAGTGTCTTGTTTAAACCTCATGACAGCCTTTTGAATTATTAGTCTTTTTATACAAATGGGCATTAGTCTTTTTATACAAATGGGCATTTGAGGTTCCAAAATGTTGAACTGCCTGACAGAAGCCACATTGCCAGTCAATGGACTCAGCCACAGGGCTCCAAAGCTAAGCTGTTGACTTAGCTCCCCTGCATCTTTGAAATCATCCCTGCAACATAGCCAGGCCGAGGTGAGAATTCTCTTATGTCCCAAATCCATGCCTGGCTTAATGAAAGTTCAAAGTGGAAAGATCCAGAGGCTCTGAAGAGTTTCTGGACCTTTGGTCAGGTCCAGACAGCTCTGTTGGATACTCTCAAGATAGCAAATACCTGAGGTGATAAGTCTATAAAGAGAAAACATTTCTTTTGGCTCATAGTTTTGGAGGTTTCTCATCCTACAATCAGCCTCGTTGCTTCTGAGTCTATGGTAAAGTAGCATATCATGGCAGGACTGTGGGTGGAACAAAACCTCACTTCCTGACCAGGCAGCAAAACAGAGAAGAGGAAGGAGCTGTGGTCCACTGTTCCCTTCCCCCACCCCTTAAAGGTTCTATCCCCCAAAAGCATCACATGCAGACCAAGTCTGTGCCACGTGGACTTTTGGGGGACACTTAAGGTTTCTGTATTACTTCGATAATATAGGTTGAGTATCCCTAATCCAAAATCAAATTTCGTGAACATGACAGGGTACCTAAAATATTTTGGATTTTGAACTTTTAGGATAGGGATGCTCAAAGAGGAAAGTCTAGCAAATTATCCAAAATGTGAAAAACTCCAAAATCTGAAATGTATCAAGCATTCACCAGGGTTTGGAATAAAATGAACAAGAGGCTAGCAGAGTCTTAACACCAAATATGTACGTAGTAAGTATGGTGGTTTCCCCACCTGGGCAGTAAATTGAAACCCCTACCCACCACTCTCTAGTGCTTTCTTAGAGGAGCTTGTAAGATTGGTGTCAGAGAGGCTCTAGTGTGGCTCAGTGGTAGAGTCCCTGCCACGCATGATCTATCCCCAGCATGGCAAAAAAATCAGAGTCATTTAGGAAATTTACAAGTTATTTGTCAGAAGCCACAAACACATGGACCCAGGGAAACTCCAACCCATTGCTGACCCCTGTTGTGTTGTGTCATGTCATGGGTGTTGGTAGTCTGAGCCACAAAAGCCACTAGATGTTCTACCTGGCAGCCTCACATTGGTCCTCTGTATGATACCCCTGTTTACACAGGTTCTGTCCCCTTATCAGTTCCTACGCCTGGGGCATCTTTTCTTGTGGGCAGTTGATACTCCTGGTGGGTGCCTACTTCCCAACCTCCTCAGCCTTGGTCTCCTCCACCGGCTGCCCAGTTTCCTTCACTTGGCCTACAATGCACCTCTTATATTCCATCATGTCCAAATCTGTTTCTAGGGGGTTCTGACAACCATTTGATCCTCCTGGATCTCCGTTCTAAGGGTACAGATGGTGGAAGGGCTGAGAAGGTGCTAGAAGCTTGTTCCATTGCATGCAACAAGAACACCTGCCCAGGTGAGGCTCCTCTTTGGTCTTCTTTCCACACACCTCTGTCTATATTTCTTCCAGCCTGTAATTTTTTAATAATTTTTTAGTTGTAGTTGGACACAATACCTTCATTTTCTTTATTTTTATGTGGTGCTGAGGATCGAACCCAGGGCCTCACAACCACTAGGCAAGCAATCTACTGCGGAGCCACAACCCCAGCCCAGCAGCCCATTGTTTTCTAATGAAAGTATTTCAGACCTCAGATGACTGGGGAATAAATAGGGTCCATGCTAATGGGGAGATAATCCTGGGCTTCTTCCCATATATTCTTTTGGGTTTGGTTCTTGCCCTGCGGTGGTAGAAAGAGAAAGGCTGATGTAGAGCCCTCAGCATGGTACAGCCTTTGATGAGAGATAGGACTTTTTGGAAACAGGCAGCATTTCTCAATGTATTAATAAAATGGTAACATATCTCAAACCTAGACAGATGTTGACCTTTTTAGGAGCAAGGGCCACAGCACAGAAGACTACTTTGCAGATCGCCAGAATAGAACAGCCAAAATATGATCCCACCTCCTTGTGTCTTTGGTAGCACACTAGTTTTTTGTGTATTTTTTTATTGGTTTATTTTTACTTACTTTTTATTGTTGTTGTTGATGATGATGATGTTTTAGTACTGGGGATTGAACCCAAGGGCACTCTACCACTGAATACCACCAACCCTTTTTCATTTTGAGACAAGGTCTTCCTAAGTTGCTAAGTCTGGCCTAAAAAATTGTGATCCTCCTGCCTCAGCCTCCCAAGTTGCTGGGATTACAGTTGTGTGCCACCACACCCAGCTTTTACTGCTAGTTTTTGAATCAGCTATACTCTTCACAGCTCTATTCTTTTTGCTAGACCAAGCCAAGATCCTCAAGCCAATTCTTTTTGCCCACATGTCCTTTTAAAATGCAAGCCACCAGCTGTATTTGAAATAACCTGTCCTGAAAATGACCTAGTTGAGGCAGGAGAGTCACAAGTTCAAAGCCAGCCTTGGCAACTTAGCCAGACTCAAATTTTTAAAAAGGGCTGGGAATGTGGCTGTGGCAGTGCACTTGCCTAACATGCATGAGGCCTTGGATTCAGCCCATGGCACTGCATAAAATAAATGCACAGTGCTCTAAGTGTAGCTTAGGGACAGAGCCCTGTTTGTCTTGTAGGTGACAAAAGTGCACTGCGGCCTAGCGGATTGCGCTTCGGAACCCCAGCACTGACATCCCGAGGACTCTTGGAAAAAGACTTTCAAAAAGTAGCACACTTTATCCACAGAGGTAAGAGAAAGATTTGGTGTGTCTGCCACATTCTCCTATATGTGAAGTTTCTAACTGTGCTGAAACCCCGCTATTCACGATGTCTATGTCAAGACCAAGCTGGGGATCAGGGGGCAGCAAAATCACTCTACCACATCTTATTTGAGAGGTCTGTAAATGTATGCTGCTCAGGGATGTCACACACAAGACTCACCTCTGAGGGGAACATTAATACCTATAAAGTTTGGTCACTCCCAGCTTGGGGACATTGCGGCAGTGTGCTTTGGACTTCCAACTGTCCTTCCTTTTGGGGTGGCTAGGGTGGGATGGGCCCACAAGTGAGTCACTATGTCTTATGGCCCAGGGATAGAGCTGACTCTGCAGATTCAGAGCAACCTGGGCTCAAAGGCCTCCCTGAAGGAATTCAAGGAGAAGCTGGTAGGAGATGAGAAGCACCAGAAGGCTGTGCAGGCCCTCCGGGAGGAAGTGGAGAGCTTTGCTTCTCTCTTCCCTCTGCCTGGCCTGCCTGATTTCTGAAGTTGTCATCCTACTCCATGCATTTGACCTGGCGCCGCCACCGCACACCAGAAGGGCAGGCAGGAGCACTGCCCAGGGAGTCACCTGCCTGAGGACCCAGTCCCTCAAGAGAGATGATGGAGGTGCCCCACAAGGGACCCCTCTCTGCCCTTTTGAGGGCATTTCTTTTGGACTTTTCTTGTTTTCACAAATTGAAATTTATTTAAGTCTGATTGTTAGTAATTCTTAGGTTCTTAAGTAATTTAAATTTGAACCTCCGATTTTCAACAGTTGTATTTAATTCTAGAAAAAGAAATACTGTATAGCCCTTTAGCCTTAATCATTTAGACAGTAGTATAGGAGAAAGCTATTAGAAAGATTCCAGTATTTTCCTCTGCATTCTCTAAGTTGCTGGGCTCTCCCCGAACTTGCTGTGACAGGTTAAGAAATACCCCAGTTCACAGCTTATAAATGCTGCCCACTCTTCCTGTTTTGTTGCCCAATGGGATTGTTGCCAAAGGAGCACTGAATTGTGACCATTACAACTGGAGAGGGCAATTCTGAAGCTTCTGCTGTGTATTTTAAATTACAAGTTAGACAAGTATATACAAGGGTACCCAGTACAGTGGGAGCATTTGCTGTCAGCACCTCAAAATCTGTTGTAAAAGGGCTGGGGGTATAGCTCACTTGTAGAGCATGTTCTTAGCATGCATGAAGCCCCGTGTTTGATCCCCAGCATCAAAAATAAGTGTTGTACAAACAATCTGTTCCACCTTCTATCCAGAGAAGGGCCCAGTCCCTTCTTGGTATGGGAGTCAGCCAGGGGCCAGAGGCTTTCCTGCTCCACCCAAGAAAACCAACTCCCTCCTATAATCAGGAACTCAATGTCACCTTCCCAAAGAATCTTTATTTTTCACATAGCTGAAATGCAAACTATAGATGACCATTTTAATAAGCACAATCGAAATTTTAACCACAGAATGTCTACAAGAATTACAGCTTTAAAAAATACAACCAATTTTTATATTTCAAAAATAATCTGAACTCAAATAAATTAATTTCTTAAAAAGTCTACTCCTCATACTATTTGTTTGGCATTTACTCTGGTTAAACTCTTGTGCAGTAAAACACCTGTGAGATGCTGTCAGTGCATCAGTCCTACTCCAACTCCAGCCACTGTGACAACTGCAGCTTGTGGGGTTGGGATACACATTCACAGATACCACAGGAACATGCAGTAGTAAAATAGCTTTTTAGAAAATAACAAGAGTTCATCACAGATTATGCTTCTAGCTGCAATCTTAAAAATGGCATTTATCTCCATTCAACCTGTGGCTCCAGCCTGGATACATCTCCCTGGGGTCCTGTCTTGCAGATGATGCTCCTTATGGCCTAGGATATAGTCTGTTGGTATTTCTTCCACTATGTATAGGGACAACTACAGTGTTATTCATGGGTATAGGTGACAAATCAGTCCCCATCCCTCTGCCTTTGATTTAGGAGCTAAAGATAACTGGACATCCCCTAAGACCCTATGTGATACCTCCATTTCGGAGCTGAGAAGTTCCTCCTGGAAGCTGAGCTCCATCCCAGAGGTTAACATGCTGCTGAGTGCTCATTCCCCATCCCAACATCCCCATCCCCTCCTGCCACCTCTTTCCCAAAGCTTTCACAAACCTTATAAGGCTCAGAGGTCAAAGGAGGGGCTCAGGAAAGCTTAGCGTGCCCTGCCTTATCAGCTGAGATTGACTTCACTTTTTCAACCAGAAGTAGAAATTTGATGCTTTTCCATTTTATTTACAGTCTATTAATGCTAAATGTCTTCTAAAGATTCCAGTTGTCACTTCCAATCATGGTACTAGGACAAAGACAGAGCCTGCCAGTTTGCTTCAAAGCACAAGCCAAAGTACATGTGATCTCTCTAGGGAAGCAGAAAGTACAGGAGCCCAGGAGAGGCCTGCTTGCCTGCTCTGAGGGTCAGTTCCCCCACTGACCTTGTACATGTAATGACTCATCCCTATATACCAAGTTGGCACTACCAGCTGTGCAGGGAAGGTACAATATGGCAGCACAAGACACTGGCTCACATGCATAGTTCAGGTTGTGGTGTAGGGCATGTGTTCAGCACTAGTCAGTATGCATGCAAGATGTCCAGGGAGTAGAGGTTGCTCTCTACCTCCACACCACATGGCTCAACTGCAATAGCCCTGAGAACTAGAGTGGAATCTACTACTGGCTTTCCTAGGATATTGAAATGGGACTTATTGTGTGGGGCTGAAATCTATAGTTTGCTCCAGCAACTGATCTGAAATATGTTAGATATGTCTGAAATAATTAGTCTGTTTCCAAATTCAGGAACAATGTAATTTCAGTCATTGTTGTACATTATATAAGGAAGAGTTACAAGGTTACAAGTTTCACTGAAGTAGCAAGATTCCTAGGGAAATAATCATCTGCTGTAGAAGACTATGAGCTCATCTCTATAATGGAGCTTCTGAAAGTCGGTAGTGTATTAACTGGCAGTCTGATCAGGTGGTTCTTAACCAGGACTGCTTTAAAAATTGTGAGGAGGGAAATATTGGGTTAGAGGTCCAGTTGAAACAAACCTCAGACAATTAGTTTCAGTACCAGAGCCCTCAAAGCAATAGTTGGGATTAAAGTAATAAGGGGCACTAATGTCACTTCCTTTTGGGGAAGTGTTGTTTTTTAATGTTGTATGAGGAATACTTCAGATGAAAACTCTTGAAGAGATCCTATTACAAAGGTTTTCCATACCCTTGAGGTGTGTAGATGGGAAACTTCATGAAGATTGATTCTTCTGAAGTGGAAGGGCTAGAGATTGGCAGAGCATTGGTATTAAATGCCTCTGCCCAAGCTATGACTCAGTGTCAGCAACACTTTCAAGATCCTTCTAAAAGGAAGCACACTTTGTATCAAATAAGCCTTTGAAACCACTAGGTGGAAAAGCTAATTTTTAACCAAAACATAAATTGGGAGTTCAAACATTAGTCAGTGAAGCCATAATGAAGAACCACTTTAAAGAAGAGGTATCCCTTTTTGCCATTTCTGTGGCTGTGGCTGCCCTGGGCCATTTGCTCCACTAACTCCCCACCAGTCTCTTGCCTTTTACTTCTCTGAGACGCCCTTGAGGCTGAGTGCCAAGCAGATACTCCCCAAAGGGACTGCCACTTAGGACCTCTCAGTGCATGACTTTAGCTTCCAGAAAGCCAAGTGTGGCTGTTCAGCATCTACCTGAAGCTCATCTTCCATCTTTATCAGTTCCCCTAGCAAGCACAGTGTTAGTCATGAAGTTTCTGTGCTGGTGTGACACATAGGAAAGCAATGGCAATGGTATCAGTGATAGTTTCCCACCTGGTCATTTGGACTCCACAGACCTTCCCTCCCTTAAAGATAAAATATCAAAGTTGTGTCCTTGGAGGCAGGAGAAGATAACACTTAGCCACTCAGAAATCAAAGTATATCTGGAACATGACAGGGAAGCAAGAACAGGTCGAGGGAGCCCACAAGAAGAAAGTCAACAGATGTTCCAGGCAGAAGCTGCCAAGGCATCCTGGTGACTTCTGTGAACATATGTGCTGAACACAAGGACAAAGAGATTCAACAGGATACAGGCAGAACCATCTGCCACAAAAGGTTTTCGATTACAACCTCAGAAGCAAAATTACACCCGGTGTCAGGAATGGGGACCTTGACTGAAAGCTAGTGGCCAGAGTCAACAGGCCACATCTTTGTGCCAATGACAGACAAGGAAAGTGATGTGACACAGACTTTGGTCACTCAGCTTCCACTAGCAGTCTCTGCCCCTCAGTAAGAAGTAGAGCTACCCTCCCTCCATGAGAAACCTTGATGGTGGCACAGGATGACAGAGCAACCAGGACCCCAGAGATGCACACACAGAGCTGACTCAGGTCCAGTTTACTGCAATTTTCAGGAAAAAAAAATTAAAAGAAGCAATACCCAGAGTTTTCCCCTCTAAGGAAAACACTTTTAAAAAAATATGACATTTTCAAGGTTGTGAGACCCCTTGTGTCTGCACACCAGTGGCACCGGAGGAAGAAGCCCTAGGGAGGCTGTGCTGATTGCCATTAGTGGGACAGCAACCAGAGGGTATCTCCTTCCCAGTCTCAAATGCCTTCCTTGAAGGGGGACTCACATGGGGATTATCATGAGCTGTGGGGACAGATGCACGCAGCTTTCCAAAAGATAGGTCTATAAGGAGAGCCACATGGGCGCTGGTCCAGGAAGACCCTCCCATTTCAATTCCAGCTGGCCAGGATGACCACCCACACTACCCAGCTGAACAGAACCCTGGTGTGACCCAGTCCAGAAAACCCCATGAGAGGTAGTAAAGTGGTTGCAAAGGCTTGCCGTGGGTGGCTACTGGAGTGTACCTCTACCAAGTCTCAGCCTGTCTGCAGAGCTTCCTAAGGGAGACAGTATTCCTGTACTCTGGCTGGGAAGAGCCAGTGGGAGGCCCAGGAGAGCTGCGGGCAACTCGTCTCTTGCACAGTGCTCATGGCCTCATGGCCCTATGGCCTATTTCATCTGAAGTTCCCAGGACAATCCTCATGCTGGCTGTGGTCTTCTGGTTCCTGCTTCACATCTGGGCCTAGTGATGACCACGAGCAGTGATCTCTAGGGACCATTTACAGGCGTTGTTTTCTTCCCTGGCAGAAGTGAGGGCAAAACCAAGGGGCTGCTCATGTCCTCTGGGGCATTTCCAATCCCTGGCTAGCCAGAGCTTTCTCCCTCCAATCTTCATTTATGGGTCTTCTCTGGGATGATGGGCTCCAAGAGGCCAAACAGAGGGCCACAGTAAGGGTCTCAATGAGGCAGTAGATGTTCTCTTGTTCAGTTTTCCACCAAATCATCAGTTAGCAGGATGCTTTCTAGCCAATTTTGCCATCCCAGAGTCCAGTATTGATGAATAGCCAGTGTTTACACCTCTTCCCATCAAGGACACCCCCTATCTGGGCACCACTGACCAGGGAGCTGTGAACACCTGTCACTGATCTTCCATGTGCCTTCAGAGCCAGGTTCCCACCTTTACCCAGCCCATCTCACAAACTGCCCAGAGCCACATGGGAACCACAACTGTCACCTCCATTTCCTTCATTGACACCACCAGAGGGCTCAACAGTCCAGCTTGGGCAACCATCCGGTCACGCCAATCCCTCCCCTTCCATACCCTGAGTCACAGGTCTTGGTCACAGTGGCTGGGACCAACTTCAGATTTTATACAAAAAGCTGGGGACATAGTCAAACCTGAGCATGGGGTGACTGGACCCAGGAGACTCCTGCATATAGTGCAGCTTTAGCAGCTCAGCCAGGTACTGGACCACCCTGACATCTTCATTCACCAGGCCCAGGTTCAGCCTTAGGAAGCTCACCTGGCGGCTGGCAACCAGCTCTTCCGTCTCCTTGTCATGGGCAGGCAGGTGCAGGTGGTGGCAGAAGGTGTAGAGAAAGGCCTTGGAGCACAGCTGGGTGAGCATGCTCTGGACGTGCAGATAATAAGTGCTGCCCCGCTTGATCTGAGTGCGATGGTCTGCCAAGCGGGGCACCAGAGTGCCCCTGTACAGGGGGCAGCGCAGGGTTTTGTTGTCCAGATCCAGGATGCTTGTGTAGCGGCTATAGCGGCTCAGGGCATGGAGGGTACCCGCACTGCCAGGGGAGGCCACTCTGAAACAAACAAGTCAAGGTAAGGAGGAAGGGCAGGGATTAGGAAGATGGAGGGGCAGATGCTATGATTGTGGGGCTTGCTGTCTCCAGGATAATTCCCACCCAGCCAGCATACACTGTCTCCTGGAAAGCAAATCTGATCATCAGGCTCTTCAAAGGGGTCCTCACTAACCTCATAACCAAGTTCAAATACCTTGGCTTGTTTATAAGGCCCTGTGAAGTCTGATTCCTGATGGCTTCTGAATCCTCTTCTAGTACTTACCTGAAGGGACTTTCCTATAACAGGCCAAGCCTTTTGTGGGGCTTCAAAAATACCCTTCCTGTTTGCCTTGCTTACAATGCCCTTCTCTCTGCTTGGGTTTGACTCA